AAGACCTGTACTGTCAGTTCAAAAAACTCCTCATTTAACTTATCCAATGTCTCCTCCAGTCTTTCAACCTTCAGCTAGAGAACACAGAACACCTTCATGAACAACAGGCAGAGCAAATGCTCAAGATTACTAGCATACAAAAGAAATTAATTTCCATGTTTTTGCCATGACTTCTGGGTAAAACATTACTGAGATGCAGTGGAAGACAAAAAAAGCACCCAGACAGGCTGTCACAAAACACATTCTGCAATGGTAGCATCTTCTAGCAGGGGACACTGTTCAAAATGGGTGGATAAAAAAGCAAAAGTTGAGGACACATATCATATTCACAGCAAGAAAAAGGGATCTCTCACTGAATGTGCAGTCTCACATGGAAAAAAAAAAAAAAACCAGCAGAAAAGTGAGAGATGACCTAAACTCACCTGCCCATCTGCCACTTGTGCTTTACTTTCACTGGTTTGGATGAACTCTGCCGCCACATCCTGTCCTGGGACCTGCTGTCCCATCTCTTGTTTCTCGGGTGCATTCTTATGCTGAACTCTCCCAAGCAGGATCGTCAATGCTTTCATCAACTCTGCTGCCTCTTGCCACGGAGCACCTAATGAACCCCACAAACAGTTCAAATGTAGTTTTACAGAACCTGTAATTACGTCCAGAACTGTATCAAGAGCATGAACCCTTCTTCGGAAATTCCAGAGGATGGCTCCAAGACGTCTCCCAGGATGACCTAAATGAGCTTTTTTGTACTTTTAGGATGGTACTCCAACATTTCCAGGTAGCCCTGTGCTTACCATTACCTAATTTGACAGAGCTATCTCACTGCATAACTCACCAGGCTGTCAAATCCTATGGAATAGCATAACACAACCATGACCTTGTGGGATCTCAGCTGTATGACCCACACCTTTTTAGGCATCCCACTGGGGCCCCTCATACTCTTTTTCTCTCCCATTCTGCACTCTGGTTCTCACCTGCCTGCATTACTGCTTCAAAGTTGTTGCTAGAGAGCTCACCACATTTCTCAGTGCTCGGGCTGTCTGAAGCTCTGTGTCCACAAGCTCTTTGCCTGGTGAAGGTATTCAGGCTGTCAGAGTCCAGCGCTTTTACCATGTCCTGTTGACAGCAGAGAGCAGCAGTATTCAGCTCTGTAAGCCTCACTGCCCACACCTCCCATACCAAAACAAAAGGTACCATATTTTATGCCAAACAGGACACGACAGAGAATATACTTACTTTAAACACCAAAAGTACTAATCCTTGGTAAAACCTCACCTCAGGGGAATTACCTGTCTGACAAGTTTCATAGCTCTAAGACTCTCTTCCCTTTGATGTTTCTTTATACTGACCATGAGACCTTGCATCTGCTGCCTGACTCCTTTGTAAAACACCAACACATCCATCCTCTGCTTTGCGAGCTGAGACGCTAGGTGCAAGTTCTGGTCTTCTAGCTTATCATACACGGTGCGAACGCTGAAATCCTCCAGATCCCGCAGAGTAGAATGCTCTACTGAAACACAAGGTACGCACCATGCCTCACCACATCCAAATGAATTTATTTCCCAAAAGGGCACCAATTATCCATAAGAGGCAACAGCTTTTTTTCTGGATTGTGAAGAAGGAAATTGGATAAACAAGAGACAGAAGGTCATAACTCTGGTTGCTTAGTAGGGAAGAGGATGACAGAGCAGTACTATCTACACTCCTGACTTGTTCTGTAATCAGAACTCTACTTTTCTACTGGTTTTGCAGCTTTAAGTGGCTGTTTCTTTGTAAACTGTTTTCAGCATCAGTAGATGGTGCCATCTACTGGGCTCTGGACTTGCTGAGCCTTGTGAATGTCTACAAATTCCCAAGATATGGTCAAAAAGGCAAGGAAGACCCATGAGTCATAAGTGCACAGAAAATACAAAAGACTATAAAGGATTGGCACAGTATTTTACCTGCATTCTGTGCTGCCCTTTTCTCTCCAAAGTCAGCCTCTTCTCCAGAACCACATGGACCAAGCGTCTGGTAGAACTGAAGGCTAGGGAAGGACAAAAAACAGGGTGAAGAATGTCCCTGCATTTGACACACTCATTCTGCATGGAAGTGCAGTGGAAAGTGGAAGAACAGTTTTTTTTCTCTAGATTTTGAGGTCAAGGGGTGAGAGGGAAGCCCAGGTAATTCAGGCAGTAGCAGAAAGATAATGGCTGGCTCGATGTGGAAGGCACAACAGAGGTACCATACACTGCACCATAAGTGGTATACTATAGGGAAAACCAAAGAATGAGAAAACCAAGGAAACCATATGAGGAAAACCAAGCAGCTTTCTGTGCAGATGGAAATTCAGCCTACCATAATACTGGGGAGGAGTCCAGCACCAGGGACTGGGAGGCTCAGTAACTGCAACAGGATATGCAAGAAGATTCCCAGGTCCTTCAGTGCTCCTGCTCTGCAGGCCTTTGAGCTCCTGATATCCTACCTGCAGAGGGGCTTACCTGTCCTTAAGGAAGATGTACTGTGGCGGGACGTGTGGCTCACCCAGGCTCCTCCACCGTGGCTTCCAGCTCTTCAGGGGGCAAACGGTGGGGACAGGGGGTTGCAGCACAATAGCCAGGGTTGTCAGCACCACAATTAGGAAAGCCAGAACAAAAAGTAGGGCTGCAAAAGCCAAGAGGAATAGGGAGAAAGAGAAACCTGGGAGACTGTGTTTTGCTACCAGTATGTCTATTTAAACCTCACTGAATGCTGTCTCGCCCATCTGAAACTAACATTTAGCTGCTTTCATCTTTATTAAATGGGCTTCTGCTCCTTCACTCGCTGATCCGCTGCATAGGGTAAGAAGGCAAGATGATTTTAGCAGTGGCAGCTAAAGGTGAAGAATCTTTTATTTGCAAGCCATGCTTTAATTTCTACTGCTTTGCTGTTGTCTTGCTAAGGGACAAGGTGGTTCATATGTGCATAGCACTTGAACAGAGGTGTATCCTGGGGCAAGACCTTAGCTGCCCTTCTACTTAGACCTTTAGTGAACTTTCAAATGATGGATGTTATTTCAGTTTAGTTTATCACGCAAACACAGTGACACCTTCTGCTTTCACACTCAGGGAAACAAAGGCCTCAATTACCCGAATTCTTCAAGGAGGGTGGGGGAAGAAACACAACTGCTACTTCCCTCTTTCTCCTTCAGCTCCTGCCACAAGCAGCTTCTTGGCTGGAGAGCAGTGAGTTTAGGGGAAGGGGATTAAAACTGACAAATCCAGTGTTTTGATAGTATTTCCAAAGAGATGCTGGTTTAAACACACCCAAATGGGTACAAGGAACCTAAGCATCAAGCTTCAAGGTATCACAGTGTTTTGGCCATACCTGTGATAGCAGCCCAGTTAGGAGCTACATTCAGTTTCTGATGCTTCAGAATTCCATGCCTGGCCAGCTGGAAGGGAGAAGAGGGCTGGAAGGACAGACCTCTGGGGTCACAGCCCACATTTGCCTCCTTCACAGTCACAATCAGAAAGTACTCCTGAATGGTCCTGTCCCGGAAAACATACGTCCCAGAATCCAGGAAAACATGGGCAAACCTAAATGAAAGACGCAGGGAAGACAGTGGTTGACCTGGTTGATGTAAAGATTCATTAACCTGCAGCAGTGATGATGGCTGAACACAAGGACTTGAGCACCCCAAACTTTGTTTTGCATTTTTACATGCCAAGGACCCCCAGAAGACCCACACTCAAGTCCTGCCCCTAGCACATGCACTCTTAGTCACATCAGATGTTACCAGGAGATGTTGAGGCCAGTCTCTTGGATGAGGTGGTCTAGTCGTCGGAAGGGCCCAAAATCCCAGCCAGGATTGCTGTTATAAAGATGCAGCTTCTGATAAACAGGGTAATGGCTGGCTGCACGATCTGGGAAGAGGTCAGCGCGGTGTCAGCAACTAGGAGCTGCTGCAGTTCACCAGACCAGGTCAGCTTTCCTAAGTGCTATGTGGCTCTATTTGCTTTATGGGGAGATGCGCTGTCAAGTCATTTGAGGTGTGCGCTACTGCCCAAAGGCTTATGCTCATCTATATACAGGAAGCATTTTATCTCCATTCTACAGAAATCCAGTCAAAAATAAAAATACCAGATGAGTCACTGGCAGAGCCTGGACTAAAGATCAGAAATTGCCTGAAGGCAAGAGAGACAAGGAAGCGAAAGAATGTGCTCACGCATGCAGTACTACCAAATGAGGAATCACAGCTCTCACAGGTCTCTGCAAAGAGCACGCTGCCCCAAACACCACCACTTACCGTGGGGGTTGATGCTAAGGCGGAAAAGGATGGTGTCTCCTGTTTCCAAACACACTATAGGGTTGGGGACAAGGGGCAGGGCATGAATGTCTTTGGAGGAGGCCTTCTGCCTTCGACGGCCTTCCTTCAGGAATGCGTCTGATGAAAAATCTCCTGCCATGGGCAAGAGAAGAAAACAGAATGCATTCTGCTAAATTAGCAGCATGGGAAAACACCTAACCCCTAGCAATGCAGAACCATTTCTTTTGCATCTGTGGGCGATGACAGATTACACAGTCAAATTCTGCTCTCACCGAGACTACCATAAATCAGGAACAGACAAAATCCAAAGGCAGCTGCTGAGAGAGCAGTACTGAACATGCATTCTCCAGCAGATTTGTTTGCAAAAGGAGTTTCTCTCAATTCCCTGAAAGGGGAAAATCATCCCTATCTTTCTCTGACCTGTTTCTAGGGAGCTAAACAAGCAGTCAAGTGCAGGCCCCCATTGGCTACCATCAGATAAAATGAAATTCCTCCCTACTTTGTAAACAGTTTGTAGTGCCTGACAATAAATTCCCCAAGCCAGCTTGCTGTAAGGAAATTAATAGCTTAGTCTGGCTGAGACTCAGGTTCATCCTTGAAGGCCTCTCGAGCCTTACCTGTGAGAAAGGCATCCAGAACATCCCTGCTGGACGCAATGAAACCTAGTACTCCACTGGGACCGAACAGGACCAAATGCACTCGCTGGCTCCTCTGCACATGTTCATCTGGACCCAGAATGTTTGTCAATTCCTGTTAAAAACATGGGGGGGCGGGATTGATACAAGTGACACTAGACTCAAACCTTCGTTTATGATCTGCTTTATTTCTTGTTTAATTAGCTTAATCTTGCTTAATCAGGCTGTGCAAGACTGGTCTAGGGAGGTTTTCTCCCACCATTAATGCACTATCATTCCTCACTAATGCACAAGCCTCCTGCCCAACCCATACTCCAGGTATGAGAGGTACTGAGCCTCCTTTGCCTCCTTCCTCTTCGCTTCAAACTTTCTCACTGAAACCTGCAAGAGCTCTCTCCAGGCTCACACCCACAGAGCAATCCCCAATTCCCCTACTTACCCTCTCTTCTCTTTCACCCATCCTCAAAAGCAGCTCTCTATTGACGCCAAATCTCAAGGAGATCTGCAGGGCTCTCAGCAAACACGCTTGGTCACAGAGCTCCTCTGCAGACACATAATGCTTGCAGTGACATCTTTAATAAGGGAAGAAAGAGGGTCTGGATCACTTGTGATCCCTGAGCAAACAGCTACAACACCCCAATGGTCAGGTTAGCCCCAGAGCCTTATAATCTACAGTGAGTTGGTCTGCTCCACATTCATAGAGAGAGACCAAACTCACAGACCATCTCACCTAGCATTCTCTCTGGTGTTCCACGCTTCCTGGTCAGCACAAGGACCATAGAATAGGCCAAAATGTGGTACTCAGTTCTCCATAACAGGCCTCTGTAATAGGCTAGTGTCCTCAGAGGAACTCCAGCAAGGGCAAGTTTCTCAGAACTACCTCCCTCCGGCCCAGCCCTGTGCTGGCACAACCTCATGGGGTCAGTAACTCAGCCAGTCAGACCTAATTATGAAATGTTTCTTAACCAGAGGTTGGACTGAGTCTTACATGCCCAGCTCTGCATTAATCTCTCCGCCTGCAGGTCCACAAGCAGCAGAGCAGTCGTATCGCTCGGGAGAAACGCACTGCCGCGTGGAGGCGAGGCGGACCTCTCCAGGAGCACAGAGCTCATCCACCTGCAACGACAGCATTCACCCACGTGTGTGCAACCAGAGAAGCTCCAGCATCTCAACAGAAATGCCCGGAATTCCCTACAATCCGCTCCCCCTTCCTCTGCTGACATCCAACATAAAGACAATGCAAGGTGGTTATTAAAACACTTGGAATCATTACAACAATTTCACTTCTCCCCAGATTTCCCTCAACAGAGCTCTAATCAAAACGCCATAATGACAATGTCGAGGCTTAAATTCCCGCATCTGCCATCTCTCTGAGATACTTAGCTGCCACCCTAGTAAGGCCAGCATCTTTTGCCTCCAGCCCCAATTGAATTTAGTCTCAAAAGATTCTGGTAAAACAGAGAAATGCCATTATCTCAGAAGGATCTGAGGCAAAGCAGCTCAAGGACTGAAGTGTGCAGCAGCCCCGTGCACTGAGCTCAGACTGCACTCACCCACACACTCCGAGACAGAGCCTAAAGCAGTGAACAACTCTTCCTCTCCTCCTGTCACGCAAAGCTTTGTTCTGAGGCTGAGTCTTACCTGAAGCTGGCAGTCCTGATCACTGTTGCTGTCAGGGTTTTTCTTGCCCCTCTCATCATAGTAAACATAACCTGCTCGGCAGATACAAGAGGAATCTGACTGCTGGAATGCCCGGTTCAGCCCGTGGCAGGTACAGCTGGCAGCACCTTAGAGAAGAGCTTGGATTTAGAGAGGAAATCAGGATAGGGAATATAGTTTGCAGAAACTGTGCTCACAGAAAAGGAGCTGTTTTCGTGTTGAATAATCTCTGCGTAAATCCCACTGCTCACTTCAGTGACCCACCTGCACTGCAGGGCTGGTACAGTAGGAGCACCAGCTAGAACCAGCCTGCATTTTGCTCTGTCAACACAACCATTTGACATTTCCTGAAGTGTCCATTTAACAAGAAAAACAGAAAGATCCAGCTAGGGATTTGAGACATTTGTATACTTAGTCACTGCTTAAGACAGAACCCAGTCAAATCAAGGCTGCCAAACTCCTCTTTGCAGTGACTCTATGCCCCAACTCTCCTTGATCCACTTGATTTGACATCCGAGTACAGTACTGCACAAGGCAGCAAGGAATATTCTACTGCATTTAAATGTCCTCCTACAAGACGTTCCCTAGTTTATCACGGCCCCAGCTGGACATGGTTATAGCACCCAATTTAGGGCAAAAATCTTGAATATGCTTACTGCAAGCTCTGCACTTCAGGGTAAAAGTACTCCTAGCGAAAGCAGAAGTACCGCTTCCAAAGCAATGCTGGAGCAAGAACAAATAGTGCTGCTCATCTCTTCCTTCTTTGTTAGGAGGAAATAAGACCAAACCCCCTTGGCTAACACAGCACAGAAGAACAAAAGACTGCTTTGGAAACTGCGTCCTCCTCCTCCGTGGTACAGAGGAAGCACAACTAGGTGCAGGCAGCACGCACGCCACCAGGAGCACCCACAGCATCCCAGAGCTTGCGGTTTACTGGGAAGCAGTGTGGGGGAATTGCATTTCTAGGTGCCGAAGAGATGAAAGTTTCCCTCAAAACCAGTGACTCACCGGGTGGAGAGGAAGAAGAGCTGCCACAGGGGAAACAGGCAGGCTGAGCGGGAAGGTGATTGAAGGAGCCCGCAGGACAGGCCTGGCACTCCTCGACACGCTTCGCAAAGCTGCTGCTCCCGTGGGTCCCGGGGGGACAGGCCAGCGGGGCAGGCACCAGGGCAGGGCAGTAGTAGCCTCGGGGACACGGCTGCTGCTGGTAGCTCTCACTGCCTGGAGAAAGTGACACTGCTCAAGGACCAAGGCAAGCGTTAGAGATAGGCAGACCTCACTTCTTATTTCCAGTTACACATGTGCCTATACAAGTACCTGTACACATACTCACATGTGTATACAAATAAAATTTGTATACGTCGCAAGGATTTGTTACTCTAGGAGCTAAAGAGCTTTGCCCCTATCCTACATCTTTTTGGTTGCAATTTAAGCTATTATTTCTTGTCCACTCCTCCACGAACAGCCCAACTTACCCTGCGGGCAGATGAAGCCTGCTGGACAGGGCTGACATGGGGCTGCGAGGAGAGAGTCATTGCGATAGGTGCCTGCGTCACAGATCCTGCAAAATTTCTCAAAGGAATCCCTTGGACCAGGCAAACTGAGCGCCATGTATCCTCCTTCACAGACCAGTGGATGGGCACTGCCTGGGGGACAGTAGTAGGGAAACACACACCTGCAAGGAAAAACAAGGCAGAGAGAGGAGAGAAAACTCTGTGCAAACGTGCAAACTTGCCTCTGCCAGGCTGTGAAGAAACTTTGGTCAGGTTTATTTTTATTTATCTGCCAGTGAGATGGAAAAACAGCTACAGTGTGGTACATGGGGGCTTACCCTGCAAAATAAGCTCTGGTGATACACCACAGGATCCAACCTGAGAAGTTAAACTTGTGTACTAAGCCAAGTTTGAAGCAGAAACTCAGGTTTTATTGCAGAGAGAACGCACAAATTTCAGTTTTCAGAAACTTAAAACTGTCCACGAAAAGCATGCCAGCTACTCACAGCTGCTCAGGGCTATTGTAGGTTGATGATCCTTCTGGACAGTAATACCCACCAGGGCACGTCGAAGGCACAGCTGTGCCAACAGCACAGTATGAGCCAGGCCTGCACGGGACTGGACTCACTGAACCTGGGGGAAAAAGCAGAAGCAGGGATTGATTAGGTGATATTCCCAGAACAGAAGAGCATGGGTTTGGCAGACAGTGTACAAAGGGTCTTTTTTTTTCCTTTAAATATGTGCTATTGTCCATAGGCATTCCTTTTTTCTTATTGTCCACAAAAAGCCCCAGATCCACCAGGAAGCAATTTGTTATTCAGCATGAAATGCTGACACCTGAATAGTCATGCCTGGATGATAAAAAAAATCCTGCTCCTTCCTAGGCCCAGACAACTTTGTTTAGGAATCTCAGTTGAATTACAACATGAAGGCAGGGTAGGAAAATGGGAATTTAAAAGCCAGGTAAAAGCTTCAAAGAGCTAAATCCACTCCTGAAATCACTCCAGCAATGACCATTGCTTAGCAGGGCCCCCGCAAGAACGGGACTATAGTCATTGCCTGAGTGCTGTGGCTGAGCCTGCTCTGTACTGTACAGCCATCCAGATTCAGAAATGGCTGGAAACAAGGAAAACAAATGACCGTGGTCATGTTACCTGGTGGGCACTCATAGCCAGCCTTACAAGGCACTCCCTGGGTGTTTGGCAGCCCTGTCTGTGCTGGATCTGGGCAATAATATCCGGGCGAACAGGGATCACAGTCTTCCAATGATGCTGCCCCAGGCTGGATCCTGGAGGTGCCAGGTGGGCAAAGGAAAGCATCCCCTTTACCAGGGCACCAGTATCCCAAGGGGCAGGGATGATCTTCAAAATTGGTCAGGCCTGTCGGAAAGAGAAAAAAATGATGAAAGGGAGGCTGGAAGAGCAGACCAAGAACGGTTTATACAGAAGGGCTCTCTGTGGATGTGAAACACCTCTCCCTTTCCTCACCTCACAGTCTGACATTTCATCTTGGGGAGATCTGTACTGAAGTCTAGCGGTGGCAAGAGTTGGTTGTCACCCACCACTTACCTGCAAAGGGGCACTGATAGCCTGGAGGGCATGGCTGGCAATCTGCCACGCTCTGAGCTCCTGGGTCCTCACGGTAAGTGTGTGGAGGGCACTTCTGCGGCGCTGGGCTGTCCTCAGTACCATTGCCTCCAAAGCAATAGTGTCCTGAGGGACATGGATAGGCCTCTGACTCTCCTAACAAACAGAAAACAGGGTCATGCACTATACTGCTGGAAAGCAGCTCTCACATCCCCTCCCCACCTTTTTTTAGAATCACAAAATCCCACACAATCCAACCTGCTTTGCACCAGCGGCCTGGTGGACAGGGCAGGCAGTCCTCTCTCTGCTTTGCTCCTGGGATGCTTCTAAGGGTATTGGCAGGACATGGTATAGGCACCTCAGAACCTTCTTGGCAGTAGAAACCTACAGAAACAGATGGAGGGAGAGAGAGAAAACAAAACTCAAAAGCCCTCTGATGGCAAATATCTCAGCAACTACTTTTTGTAGTAAGATGAACATCTACAGAGTTGTTGGGATGCTGTGCACATACAGAGCCAGAAAAGACTTTTCTGGACTAGCACTGCAAATTCAAGGCATTTTTGACCAGCTACATCTCTTTTTTCAGCAGATATAAAAACATAAAAAGCCGCTGAACAGCATCAGCTTCTTCAAAGCAGGGTCACAACAAATAATGCAAGATAACAGATGCTCACTTTTTGAAACCTCCAGCTGGTCTAAAGCTACTCACTCTTCTATGCGTTACAAATTGCTGAGATTCCCACTGACCTGCGGGGCACAGCCCAGCACACAGCTTCCCCCAGCGGCACTCGGACAGGAAGCGCCAGGAAAAAACGTGGCCCTGTGGAGTAGCCTGAGAGCTCCCAGCAAGGCAGAAGTAGCCGGCAGCACACGTTCCCTCCAGCCGCCCGCGCCTGCAGCACACACAACGGGAGCAGCAGATGTAAGAACTGCTGAGAACGTCGTCTGCTGCACAGGTAGCGTTGGTGTTAACAAAACGACCCCCAAAGTAAATGCCAAGAAACAAGAATTTCTTACAGAGAAAAAACAGACCCATGTTTTCCACTTACAAATTCGTGAACATAGGCAAACTACTTCAGAAAAAATTGTGTAGGACTTTCCATTGGACTTGAGCTTCTGGGTTGCTTCCATGCTTTCAGAAATGCTACCTGCTGCCCGCTTCAGCTATTTGTATCACAAGAATGACATCCAACTGCTTCAAAATGCTTTTCTGAATTTACAGATCATCATCTCTGCCTCCAAAAGCTGTGCCTGAGCTTAATCGACTTTCTGCATGGCAGAGATGTGATAAAGAATCTGGGAAGAACTTAGCATCTACTCATCAACACAAAAGCAAGGATGCCAACCTGCTTAAAACACAGGAAAAAATGCCAGACTGAACTGAACCATTACCTGCAGTAGTGGCCAGGTAAGCAAGTCAAGCATTCCCTCTCACTCCAGAGGCCAGTCATGTTCGAAAATGTGAAGGTGCCTTCTGGACACAGGTGAGGAACCCGGGTGCCTGAAAGGGAGATGGAAAATAACTCCCCTGAAGACCACTGTGACCTGACAAGACTTCAGAACTACATCTGAGAGTAACAAATAATTCGCAAGAATAGGGCAGTACTGAGCTGTATTTACTCATGCCGACTTTAGCAATACCTGTAGGACAGTAGGCATGAGGTGGGCAGCGCTTGGGGTCTCCTGCCACTGCCTCCTGGCAGTAAAATCCTCTTCGACACGGAATGCAGGACGCAGAGCCCCTAGTTGGCTGGTATTCCCCAGCAGGGCAAGGCACAGGGTGGGCTGCACCCGAACGACAGAAGTGACCCTAGAATGACACAGAGAAGGACCAGGACTGCGTACACTTGCTGGTACTCTCAAGAGCCCAGGTGCAAGCCAAATCCCAGCAATACCAAAGCTTGGGGCAGCATCCCACGTGGATGTAATCAATAACTGATTCAGACAACAGTGGAAGCTGAACATCTGCTAGTCAGAGCTAAAAAGCACTTCTTTCACAGCCCCACTGTCACTAAGCTGTACCTTAGGGCAGAGGAACGGTGTGGGGCTGAAGGAGCTGAAGTTTGCTGGGCAGTAGAACCCCTCGGCACAAGGTCCTGTTGGAGAACTCAAACCACTGCTGGCGCAGAAAGATCCAGGATAGCACGGCACACAGCTCTCTGGGGAGGTACCACCTGATGAGGAAACCAGAAAACAGTGTTCCAAAACTAAACCAACACTCTTCAGTGAGCAAGGGCATCTTCTCGGAATAACCAGAAATAATGAAGTCCCCCATCTCTGGAAAGCACAGGAGAAAACCCCAGGAGAAGTGACACTCACCTGTGGCATTGTTCAAGGTGCCTACTGGGCAGGCTACGGGGCCATGAGTGCCCTCTGGGCAATAGTGCCCGAGCGGGCAGGGCCCGCTGAGCGGGAACCCAGGTGTCCTGCGTGGAATGGCATCAGTGGATCCTCCTTCACAGTAGTACCCAGGCGAGCACAGACCTGCCACGAGACAACAGAGTATGACGGTACAACAGGGAGGCCTTCGCCGTCTCTGGTCGCTATTTCTTCTACTTCCTTCCTCCTTCAGCCCAGAAATCCCCAACCCCTCTGTTGTGGATGGATCATTATCAATCAAACTTACCATCAGCTTCCCAGTTAGCCTCTCCCCTGCAGTATCTCCCCACGGGGCACAGCTTGCAGGCAGCGGGGGACAGTGCCCCCTCCAAGGTGTTCAGCGTGCCCTCGGGGCACGGCAGTGGGGCAGCAGTCCGGAGAGGGCAATAGTAGCCTGTACAGTGAAAGAGGTGCATCACACACTGCTCGCAACAGCAAGGAGCAAGAAGTGGGAATGCTGAGCTTGCTCAGGCTGATGGCAAATGCTGTATTCCCTGTAATTATTCGCTGCTGTAGCTCAGGCAGAAAGAGGAGGGTAGGTACCCATGAGACCTCCCATCCTGAGCCAGGGGCTTTGCTCACCCGTGTTTCTCACCTCTGGGGCAGCGGAGGGGCTTCACGGTGGCAGCGCTGCTGCAGGTCATACCAGGCGGGCACGGCAGGCAGGTGCCTGCCCCAGGCATCGGGCTGTACGTGCCAGGCTCACAGGGCAACTCTAGCCCAGTGCCAGCAGGACAGTAAAAGCCACTGGGACATCTGTATCCATGAATTCTGTCCGAAGGGCAGGGAGCAGAGTTTCCTTCCAGACAAACGAACCTGTGGAGAGAGAATTCAGACCTGAAACAATGGCCTCACAGCCCTGCTCAAAAGGAACAGATGCAGGAGGCACTAATCAAGAACAGGAATCAGCACATTAAGAAACATGTCTTTTACAATGCAATTTATTTTAGTTTTATTTAGAAAATACCTGCTTCCCTTTTTTTTTTCTTTTTTTTTTCCTTTTTTCTCTGCAACTGTCCCCCTGCAAACCTTAGCAAAATCCCCCACCCAGAGCTGACCGTAAAGTGTTCTCATTCTGGAAGAAAAAGCCCTTTAAAATGAAGGATATGTATATTTTTAAACTTCAAAGCACAGAGTCCAAGTGCTCAGACTCTTGCTGTCTTTGCTTAGTCTCCCTTTATCCCCAGGGTTTTAGATAGCTCTGCTTTAATGCCACCTAATCCACACTGACTCTTCTCTTTAGCGCTTTCCCAACACCCTCACAGTAAGCAAATATGAGGAAACACAGAAACTAGTATCTCTGTAGATAAAAGCTAAGCAAAAAGAAAACGAGAGACATGATCACTGTATGCTCTACATAAGGATTCAAAGAATGTCGTTTCTGAAGAAGAAATAATTCAGAACACTTACGGGTGAAATGACTGGAAGCAAAAGGAGCAGCATTAAAGAAAAGAACAGCCAAGTTGCCTGTCAGCATTTGTTTCCCTGCAAGCAAGACCTATTTGGGTGAACAGCAGACTACAGGAATGGATGCTACATGGGAGGGATGCTGAAAGACAGTTTGCTTAAAGCACAAGTTGTACCCTGCTGGGCTAAGAGCTTCACAGACCTTGGGAGACAAGAGTCACTTACCATCACGCAATATCTGTTATACCTCAGGCTACAAAACTTGACTCAATACTGCTGTGGCCACGTTACGGCATCCTTCTGAGTTAAGCCATTTCTAGGAAGGCCTAAAATTTGACTAACATGTGACAAATCCTTCTTATTCCTAGGAAATTTATTTCAGAGGATAATTATCTTATGCATTCCAAATGCACTCCTTATTTCTATTCTGGGGCTAGCTTCATCATCTGGC